AAATGTCGTTTGTCTATGATTGCATATATATGTGTGTGTGTATATATATATAGATGTTGTTTGTCCATGATTGTATATATATATATATATATATATATAGATGTAGTTTGTCTATGATTGTATATATTTATATGTGTATATATATATAGATGTTGTTTGTCCATGATTGTATATATATATGTGTATATATACATATATATAGGTGTTGTTTATCTATGATTAGTTAAAAATGATTTGCAGCTTCCTTTCTTTCATGCTGCTGTTTATAAAGAGAGTCAATATGTTCTCCTACCTTTGTGTGTCGGTTTCTTCCGATTTCCCAGATTGATTTTAGCGTCTTTTTTTTTTCAGTTCTGTTTATGTTTCCGAATCTCTTCTTATTTAATTTCGTACAAAAATTATAAACAAATGTTAATTTGATTTTCAGCTTGATATGCACAAGTAACTAGCATAAACAAACATAAATACGAATTCGGTTGACGTCACTGGAAGACGCCACACAAGAAAAGTTGAAACACAGAAAGAGTTGGATAACCGAGGAAACTTCCATAAATATCTAAAATATCAGAAACTAGGAATGGGAATATAATCACAGACACTTGGAGAACAGAAAAAAAAACTAACTGTATTTACTTAGCTATACAGGTGTTATACAAGTAGAAGAATTATACAAGAAAATGTATATCACTATAGCTTTATTATATGGTTACTTAAGCCATCTCTGATTTCGAAGTAATAAACTGGAGGGAAGGCAGCTAGTCAACAATGTCCATGGCCAACTCTTTTTGTCATCTCTTATATATAAAGTCGTAAATTTAAATAAAAATTTTGAGCTATATAAAGGTATTATTCATTATACACAATGCTGATCCTATCTCATAATACCCACCAAAACAATACTAACGTATTTTTCGTTATATCACAAATATTATATTTGGAGTCAATATTACGTTCACCACAATAATTTAAATTTGTAAAGAACGACAATAAAATCATTTATGTTAAGTACAATTATAATTAAGTAAATAGAGCTAACTATCCCCTAGGGGGAGTCAGTGGTTTCAGTGAAGTTTATAAAGTCAAAATTTGAAGTTCGGTCCGTGTAGTGAACACAACACTGATAGCCTATTAGGCAGTTTTGCAAACAAGCACATACCAAATATTTCATTTAAATTCCAAAGAAAATATAAAATAATCAACAGCGTACAACTATTAGTTTTTTTGGACATATGGTGATTTTAACAGCGCTGTTCTTTACCACTTGTATTATAATACCATTTTAGATATAACAACAGTTTCCAAATAGCCCACTGCCTCCTAATAATTTAGTGTTGAATAATGTCCAAATGTCCTTTGTTTCAAGTTGGATTGGAAAGAAATCTTACAATATCTCTGAATCGCCTGTGAAAAACAAAAATTAGGACAATAGGTCAAATTTATATGTTTATATACACTTGAAAATTTAAGCAAAAATATCCTGTATCACATGACTGATCTCAATAAACAGTGATGTTAATATGGTTAGAAAGACCAGTCAAATACAGTTATATCATCCCAAACATTGGATATTCAAAGTGGGTGGCTAAAGTTTTCTTTGGCGAACATTTTACGTGATATATGGAAAAAAATGTTTCTTTCATTAAAATACATTAAAATACATTAAAATACATTAAAATACTTAGGAAGTTTACAAAGTAAAGCAGAACAAACACTTCACTGTGTTTAATTATTTAACTTATGCAAAAATATAAACATGAAAGTAAGTGTTTATTCTTTTCAATAAAACCAGCTAAATATTTCGTAGTTATCACATATACTGCTCTTTGATCTTTCCATTTCACTATCAGATCATTGTATTTACGAACAAAAGCCACGTCTTAACACTCCATTAGCAAGATCTTTTGGGACTCCTCTATTTGTGCGAACTGTTGCCTTCATCATTATATTTTGAGTCTCCAAAAAGTGTGCCAGTTGAGTACTTGCATATCAGTTGTCTACGATTACATGACACCCCTGTCCAAGAAAAGATTCTAATAAATGGACAACTGTTTTTTCACTAGATGCAAGTTCATTTACTCCTTCCACATCAGGCAAAGAATATTGTTTGTTGGGGTATTTCCCATAGTACGCCATAAATTTATAGTTGTAGCCATACCAATTCATTTCACTGTTGCATATGACAAATAATTTGATGCCAAATCTTGCGCATTTGGTTTTATGAATTGGGGAAAGCCTAGCCGTCCTTTCCATAAAACTAATGCCTCATTAATTGAAATATGTTCTCCTGCATCTATATTTTTCATCGAGAAATTTCTCAAAAGCTCACAAAAAGCATCCAAGCGTGTAGAGGGTACATTATTTCACATTATTCACTTTGGTAAGGCGTAAAAAAATTCATAATTGGCACGTACCTGTCTCTACTCATTATGGCAGCACAAAAAAGAATGCTTGGTTCATAGGGCATTCTTGCCCAATACTGGTTCATATCGCTATATTTACATTTTACAGTATAAAAATAAAGAGCAAGAAACGTAAATATATAATTTTCAGTGAAGTCTTTCCACCGGATACTATTTACAATTCCATTAGCTTGTAGATTATCATAAAAAAGCCTTTGCTTTATCATTTACATGAAAAACAATATGGTTTATAACTTCACTCGTAATAAACCTTTTCACACACTCTAAAACACTCATGTTATCTGAAAAGCCAGTTGATGGGTTGATCCCTCTGAAATTACGCACTAATAGCGGCTCCAGTTGAGACCTGGCATCATCAAACAGATTAGTAACACGTTTCCATCCTCCAGCCATTTCATTCGGTTGAGGCAAGTCTTGTAATTGAAAATTGTCACTACGATCTGAATAATCACTGCTATCAAACTCCATATCACTTTTAACTGGTACATATTCACTACCACTATCACTCATACCCTCATCACTTGACATTTTTTACATTATTTTACTCAAACAATTCGTAAATGCATGCAAAATGAAATGTATTTATAGCTAGTTACCACTCAGTCAACATCCGCATGCAACTGACACCACCCTGTTATTACTTCAATCAATTACACATCACTTATTTTGTGAAAGTTGCTGATTGGTCAATAAAAATGACGTCATTTAGATTGAAGAGCATTCAATAATACTCTGATAAGCATAGCGGAATATTTTTCTTCTTAAACATAAAATTAAGCATGTTGACTCCAACAGTGGCATCATAGCATGGATAATCAAGACTTCCCATGAGGCCAACATTGGAGTCATCGTATGGAAGGGGTTAATATACACTTCAAGGTTTGTTGACAGTCATTATATATCCTCTCCTATAATTTATGTCAACTTATGTTTTATTAGCTTCAAGACATATAGGTAATTATGAAAAAATTAACTTTCTTAAAAAGTCATTATTTGTTAGGCTATTTAAAACAAACATTGGTATTCACAATGT